CACCTGACCCCTTTAGGTTCCATTCGATGATAAGGAAGTACCTGACTATCTTATGCATGAACTCTCCCCAAGGAGGTATGCAGCTTCCCCAGGCACCACCCCAAGGGAACTTGTTAAACTGTGGGTGGGAGGGGAGTAGCCACCTCTCAGTATAGACCATGAAACACAGGGTACCAGAGTAGAAATTTTCTTAGATCCCCAGATAATTGCTCACTTTCTATTATAATGATTTCTAAAGAGATGGAGACAGATCCATAGAGCATGCTTGGGACTTCCCATGAGATGTGGGCAAAATGTAAAGAATCAATAAAATAAGCCAGCATTCTATGAAGCAAACATAACCCTGGTACTCACATTAGACAGACACCATAAGAAAAGAAAACTACAGATCAATATCTCTTATGAATATACATACAAAAATCCTCAACAAAACACCAGTGAACAGAATCCAACAGCATATTAAAAGGGTCATGCATCATGACCAAGTGGGATTTATTCCAGGAATATAGAATGATGCAACATCAGAAGAGCAATCAATGTAATACACTATATCAACAGAACAGAGTAAAAGAACAACACGATCATTTCTATGGAGGCAAGAAAAACATTTGACGAAATCCAACAAACTTTCTTGATGAAAACCCTAAAGAAGATTGGAATAGAAGTGAAATTCCTCGATATGATTCAGGGCATATATGAAAAGTGAACAGCCAACTTATACTTAATGAAGAAAGACTGAGAGTTTTCCCCTTAAAATCAGGAACAAGACAAGGATGCCCATTCTCATCATTTCTATTCAATATTGTATTACTATTGTTCAGATGTCAATAGTACCCAAAATGATCTACAGATTCAATGTAATCCCAATAAAAATTCCAGCAGTCTTCTTTACAGAAATAGAACAACCAATCCTCAACTTTATTTGGAATGGTGAAAAAACCAAAAACCAAACTCATTGCCATCATGTCAGATCCGACTCATAGCGACCCCTCTTTGGGTTGCCAAGACAGTATCACTACAGAAGTAGATTGCCCAACCTTCCTTCTGAGGAGTGGCTGGTGGGTTTGAACCGCCAGCCTTCTGG